ATTCCACATTCTGATTATTAATGGATGTGTAGTGCTGTTTCTCTTCGAGTTTTGCCCCATCAGCAAAGAAGGTCCTGAAGGCTTTACTCCATTTGTCTCATCATGGTCAACTTTATTTTGAGGAGGCAACTCTTTCCTACTCATATTTTGAGTGTCTTCCAACCTGAGGGGCTCATTCTCAGGCACTATATCTGACAATATTCTGGTGCTCTTCATCATGTTTCAGTATTCAATATTCAGGTGCTGACAGTGTTCCACTGCTATTCCAAGGTTTTCAGTGACTAAATATTTGGTAGTAGTCCATCTCCCCTGCTTCCTAGTTTGTCTTTGTCTGGAAGCTCGGCTGAAACCTGTCCACTGTGGGTGACCTGCTGGTTTTTAAAATACCCATGGCATAGCTTCCAGAATCACAGCAACATGCAAGCCACCAACAAGCTGACAGGCAAGTGGTGGATCTGCAGTATACTCTTCCTTAATTGAGAGACTCTCTCAGGAACATATCTGATGCACTGAACATTAATGAGCAAAGACCAGATGACTTGTGGGATGATATTAAAGATATCATACATGAAGAAAACTAAAGAGAGGGGAAAAAGAAAAGGCCAAAATGGTCGTGAGAAAACACTCTGACACTTGTTCTTGACCATACAGAAGCTAAAGTAACTGGAAAAAGTGATGACGTAAAAGAGACGAACAAAACATTTCGAAAGACAACTCAAGAAGACAAAGTCAATAATTATAAAGAAATTGTGTAAATGTGTTAAACACCTGGAATTAGAAAATTAAAAGGGAGGAACATGCTCAGCATTTCTCAAGGTTAAAAAAAAAAAAAATCAAGCCTTAAGGATTCTATGGACAAAATATTGAATGACACATGAAACATCAAAAGAAGATGATAGGAATACACAGAGTTACTGTACCAAAAAGAAATGGTCAATGTTCAACCAACTCAAGAGGTAACATGTGATCAAGAACTGATGGTACTGGGCAGGAAAAATATGAAACAATAATGGCAACCTGACAGATTACTACAAGAACAAGCAAGTTGCTCGCTCAGGAGACATCAAGTCAAGTGGTTGGGTCCTCTCAGGGCAAATCCCCTGCCAAGACTAAGACTCAGTGGGAATACATGAGCAGACATGCGCTCAGATTGGTGACCACGTGGGTCACTGATAAGGGGAAGTGAGGGAAAAACAGCAATGAAGCTGCGAGCTAAGTCCTACAACATTCAATAGACTCCTGTGAACCCGGGTGGAGATCTGGTTGGCCAGCAGTGTGGCAAGACCTGCGGACTCCTGGGCCCAGAGTCAGTGACATAGCCACAGAGGACTAGAGTGGAAAGTGAAGCATCCAGCTGTTAAGAAGAGAGGGTATATGCATAAGAACACCCATACTTGCAGATAATGCCCACTTGACCTGGCTTCAATGGCTGTATGAACAGAGCTCAACTAGAAGAAGAAAGAAGAGGAAAAAAAGAGTAATCTGACACAATTTGATGAATTTGACCTACATCTATGGATGCAGGAGCTCAAAAGAGGGAACAAATCTTTATAGCGAAGATAATTCCCACCCCCTTGCTACACAGGGATGGACAACTTGGACATTGGCTACCCAAAATGGGGGGGCTACAAAGGCAAGAAGTGACTGGCTTACAAGCTTTCAAGAAGGAGCCTAGATCCAAAGGGCATGGAGGAAGGTAGAATCTCCACTGAGTAGTATCCAATCTGTCTGGGCAGGGCTGATGAAAGGAGTTGGGGATAGGTCTCTTGTGGTACAATAGTGAATAATTGCTATTAGGACTGACTCTGAGGGTTGGAAATGTAAAGGTAGACATCGTGTAGCAAAAGGAGAGGAGTGATTAACTTTGCAGTCTAGGAACGTAGGTCCCTGGGACCATCAAGGGAGAAGAGCCGAGTGTGGGACCCTATCCAGAGAAGCAGTGATGGCTGAGATGGAGGCAGAGACAATGACATGGAGAGATGGAGCGCCTGGGGACTTTAGACCCAGAGAGGGAGAGGGGCTCTGTGCTGATGACCGGGGGGTGGGGGGGGGCAGGCTTGTAGTGTATACCCTTTGGTTGGTTGATGATGCATGGAGGGGATTGTAACCATGGCAATGAAACGATATATAATAGGATGAATGTAAAGCTAATGTTCTCCCATGTAAACTATCACATAAATCATAAGAAAACATTAAAAAAAAAAACACAAAAAAGAACTGATGGTATTGAAGGAAGAGGTTCAAGCTGCACTGAAGGCATTAGCAAGAAACAAGGTGCCGGTAATTGAGGAAATCCTAATTGAAATGTTTTAATAAATTGATACAGTTCTGGAAGTAGTTACTTGTCTAGGCCAAGAAACTTGGAAGATTGCTCACCTTGCCAACCAATTGGAAGAGAACCATTCCAAAGCATGGTGACCCTATAGATTGTGGAAATTATCAACCAATATCATTAGGATCAAGCACAAATAAAATTCTGCTGAAGATAATTAAAATATGTTTGCAGCAGTATATCAACAGAGAGCTGCCAGAAATTCAAACTGGATTCAGAAGAGGACCTTGAATGTGTAATACGATTACTGAGGTCAGATGGATCTTGACTAAAAGCAGAGACTACCCAGTTGTTGTTAAGTGCTGTTGACTAGATTCTGATTCCTAGCAACTCTGTATAGGGTTTCCAAGGAGTGGCTGGTGGGTTTGAACCACCAACCTTGTGGTTCAAACAGACCTTGAAGTCAAGTGCTTAACCTGCAGTGTCACATTACGACTCCAAAATGATGTTTACTTGTGTTTTATTGATTATGTAAAGGCATTTGACTGAGTGGATCATGACAAACTATGGATAGCATTGGGAAGAATGGAAATTCCAGAGGATTTAATTTTTGTTCATTCCTTACCCATGCACAGACCAACAGACTGTCGTTTGAACAGAACAGGGATAATTTATGGTTTCAAATCAGGAAGAGTGTATGCCAGAGTTGTATCCTTTCACCATACAATATTCCATCTATATGCTGAGTGCGTAATACGAGAAGCTGGACTGTCTGATGAAGAATGTGGCATCAGAATCGGAGGAAAGCTCATTAGCAACCTGCAATATGTAGATGACACAACTTGGCTTGCTGAAAGAAAGTATTGTTGAAGCAATTGCTGATGAAGATCAAAGAATACAGACTTCAGTATGGATTATACTTCAACATAAAGAAAACAAACCCCCTGCAACTGACTAATAAATAACATCTTGATAAAAGGAGAAAAGATTGAAATAGTCAGGAATTTCATTTTGCTCAGATCTACCATCAACATTCAAGAGATCAAACACCATATTGCATTAGACAAATCTGCTGCACAAGACCTTTTACAAAGTGTTGAAGAGCGAAGATGTCAGTTTGAGGACTAAGGTGCATCTGACCCAAGCCATGGTATTCTCAGTAGCTTTATAATACATGTGAAAGTTGGGCAATGAATAAGGAAGACTGTAGAAGAATGGATAGATTTAGTTAGGGTGTTGGAGAGGAATAGTGAAAGTCTCACGGACTGCTAGAAGAATAAACAAATCTGTCTTGAAGAAGAACAACCAGGGTGCTCCCTAGAAGGGAGGATGATGAGACTTTGTCTCACGTATTTTGGACATGTTCTCTGGAGGGACACCTGGAAAAGGACATGATGCTTAGTCAATTAGAAAGTCAGCAGAAAAGAGGACCATGCTCGCTGGAAGGGGTTGGCACAGAGGCAGCGGCAATGGGCTCAAACAAAAAAAAATTGTGAAGATGGTGGTGGACCGAGCGGTGTCTCGTTCTGCTGTGCATAGGGGTCACTATGAGTCGGAGCTGCTTCAACGTCACCTAACAACAACAACAACAACAACAGTGTTGACTCAAGACAGCAACATGTCAAAACAAACTAGCATAGCATGTTTAGGAAAATAATGTGGGGAGGGGAGTGTGAAGTCAGCACAAATCTATCATGTGCATGTTCTTTGGGAAACAAAATATGATAGTTGAGTACACACTGTTTATGTTGCCTGGGGACCTATGGTGAATGAAAGAGGTACAAATGTCTCCTGTCATGAGTGTGCTGGTGTGAGAAAGGGGCGATCCAAATCAGCAGAAGAACAGATCTGGCTTGTAGCATGGTTGTTGTTAAGTGTTGTCGAGTTGGTTCCAACTCATAGTGACCCTGTACAGGATTTTCGATGAGTTGCTGGTAGCTTGAACCGCCGTCCCTGTGGTTCAAATTAACCTTGCAGTCCAGCTCATTAACCTGCTGGGCCACACCAGGCTTTATGTGAGGAGATGGTGTAAGGTGTGACAAGGTAGGAAAGAGGGCTGTGTTTGGAATGGTAGGTGGGTGGGGGAGGTTGGGAGGATCTCAGGAGGAGGTGAGTTTTGGTTAAAGGTCTTTTGGAGGTGAAGGGATAAGGCAGAGGGATAGCCAGTGTTGCTGGAGAAAGAGATTGAGAGGGAAGGAAAGGGAGGGGACAGGGCAGGTGGTACAAGGGGAAGACTTTAACTTTTATTCCAAGTGAGGTGGGAGTCATGGAGGGTTGTAGGCAGAAGAAAGACATGCCCTAACTTAAGTCTTCACAGCCTTCTTCTGGTTGCTGTGGGGAGCACAGACCACGGGGGCGGAGCGCGGGAACTGGAGTAGGGTGGAGGCTGCAGAGAGGATGAGAAGTGGGCAGGTTTGGGGTGTATTTCAGAAAGTGACAAGGGGTTGGACGTGGAGAAGGCCAGCAGCCTCAGTTTACTGCCCTGGCCTCCCCCACCCCCTGAGATGGGTGTGGAGTTGATGGGGAAGGAGAGACCAGACCCCAAGGACAAGGGCAGGGCCAGTCTGGGCCGCAGGTGCTCCCCCACCCCACGCTCCTCCTCCTCACCCCGTCCTCTGCAACAGTTACAGGCAGGGAAGAGGAAGTGGTAGGACCAGTTGTCGCTCCCAGGCAGGCGGGTGGTGGAGGCTGCGAGGGTGTGTGGCTGGTGGCGGCGGCAGCAGCAGCCATGGAACTGTGGCGGCAGTGTAGTCACTGGCTGATCCAGTGTCGGGTGCTACCGCCCAGCCACCGCGTGACCTGGGATGGAGCCCAGGTGTGCGAGCTGGCCCAGGCCCTCCGGGATGGGGTCCTACTTTGTCAACTGCTCAACAACCTGCTGCCCCACGCCATCAACCTACGCGAGGTCAACCTGCGCCCTCAGATGTCCCAGGTGAGCTGCCGGGGCAAGGTGAGGGGTGCCCCAGGCTTGGCCCTCAATGTATCTTGGAGTGGCAAGGTTGAGGGGAGTACTCCGAATTCGAGGGGGTTTCTCTTCCACTCTGGAGTTTACAGGCCCCATGTGGGGTGATAGGCTTTGGGGTGGCACAAAGGCTAAGTGAGGAAATGATGACTTGTCTAAAGGTTGGTTGTTTGAGACCACCCAGAGGCCCCTGACAAACAGACTGGTGGTCTGTTTCCGAAAGTCTCAGGCTTGAAGACCCCACGGAGGCACCATGAGTCAAAAAAATCCGCTCCGGAGCTGGCCCTGCAGTGGTTAACTTTCCCAAACTCCAGGCGGACGCCTGCGGGGGTCCCAGCCCTCCAGTTGGGGCTTTCTGAGGGTCCTGCAGGGTTCTTAGGGATCCTCTGGGTGGTTCACAGGGGACCTATGCTATTGGACTCCTTTGACCTCAGATTCTGGCTTTGGGGAGGGGCCTCAGGCCTCCAACTTCTTCCCCTGTGTGTCACCTCCCAGGCCCTGGGCCCCTTCCTTCCCCTCGAATCTTCCTTCCCCTTGGCTTCCTGCCTGGGGCCTGGGGCAGTGTGGGGCATGGGGGGCTGCAGCCCCTGGCCCTGGGCTCCCCGTCTTTGTGCATCCTGGGAGGAAACTGAGGCAGAGCCTAGGCCTGGCGGAAGAGTGAGCCCTGGGACTCTCCCATCTAGAAATAGCTGCTGCGTTCTGTGTAGGGTGTTCTGCAGGGGCCCAGAGTCCAGGGGACTGTGGAGTTGAGTGTGACCTCCCCTGCTCAGGAAATATATTCAAATCCCTATTTGACTGCGGTTGGGGTTGGGGAGGTGGGGGAGGTGACAGATTGTCTTCTCTCTTGAGCACAGTCTCTGGGTGCTAGAGGACACAGTGGAGTCGTTAGGTGTGGACAGAGGAAGGGCTGGGATGGTCATGTCAGGTTCCAGAGCTGGGGCCTGGGGGCACACAGTCTGTCCTGGGGTCTGAGGGGACACAATCTATCCTGAGGTCTGAGGGGATGCAGTCTGTCCTGGGGTCTGAGGGGACACACTCCTGCTGCCCAGCCCTCAGGCCCCCTCTTCAAAAGGAAGGCGTTGCTTTGAGGAGGACCTGAGCATTGGTGTGTGCCTAGGGGGCTCTGGGTCCGGTGGGCAGTGTTGGATGGTCCAACATCCTTGCTGGCCTGTGTCAGGTACCATTTGAGCTGGGAGAGGGACCCCTGGGGGTCTCGAGAGATTTCCCAGAAGATAAGACTGCCTATGGGGGAGGTGGGGGGGCCCTTTGTTCCTCCTTGTTTTCTTCACTCAGGGGTTCACCCCTCCCCAGCACAGGCAGAAGACAGCCCTGAGTCTCCCCCTTCCCCATCCCCAGCCAGCCTGGTGACTAAACACCATCCTAGATTTGCCTACATTTGCTTCATCTTCTTGTGGCTTGCAGGGTATGAGGAAGCAGCCATGGGACCTACGAGGTCACAAACTTAGCAGGGGTCTGGGAGACACAGTCTATACCCATTAAAGGGAAAGTAGGTGAATTTCCACCCCTGTATATATCTTCCTAAAACCCATTCTCTGAGAGAGGGCAAGGAGACATAGTGTTAACCCCTAGGGAGATATCTGTACTTGTGGGCCTGCCTTGATTCTCTGTGCTGCGTAGCACCGGGGCCTTGGTCTTTCCCAGCCCTGTGTGGTCAGGTATGGCTCGGAGGTTCGAGGGTGAGGGCAGGGCATTGCATGGGACACTCTGGTATTACGCAAGAGAGGGCATTTCTGCTGAGTGATGAAGAATAAGTAGGCAGTTTCTCGTTGTCTGGTCTTTGGGAACTCTAGACCTTCCTGCCTCTGCCCATTTTGCCTCCTTCAAATTCACCCCACCGAGACCTGTACACCACAGAGGGAGGAGCCACAGGAACGATCTCTCTAGGTGTGTCTGTGTCTGCATCGCTTAAGAAGGGTCCTGTGATGGGGAAGGGCAGGGAGAGGAAGACTGAGGGTGGGCCCAATGGGGGGAGGGAGATTTAGAAGGCTTCCCAGTGTCCTTCATTCCCTTGACATAGACCCTCTCTTTCCCCTTAGTTGCTTCCAGAAAAGAGGGCTCTTGTTACTAGATGCTGTTACTCAGCGCCAACTCATAGCGACCCTACACACAACAGAACGAAACGCTGCTGGGGCTTGGCGCCATTGCTGCTCTGCTGTGCCAATCCTTCTCATTGGGGGTCTCCCTCTTTTTCACTGATCCATCACTTTACCAAGCTTGATGTCTTTCTCCAGGGCCTGGTCTCTCCTGATAACACGTCCAAAGTATGAAAGACCAAGTCTGGCCATCCTGGCTTCTAAGGAGCATTCTGGCTGTACTTCTTCCAATGTAGATTTGTTTGTTCTTTTGACAGCCGATGGTACCTTTACTATTCTTCTCCAACACCATAACTCACATACATAAATTTTTCTGTGGTCTTCCTTATTCATCGTTCAACTTTCACATGCACATGTTGTTGTTCAGTGCCTTGGAGTCGGTTCTGACCCATAGCAACCCTGTACTGGGTTTCTGAGGCTATAAATCTTTACAGGAGCAGAAAGCCTCATCTTTCTCCTGCGGAGTGGCTGGTAGTTTCAAACTGCTGACCTTAAGGTTTGCAACCCGATTTATAACCACTACGCTACCAGAGCTACTACATGCACATGAGACTATTGAAAATACCATGGCTTGGGTCAGATGCACCTTAGTCCTTACACTGACATCTTTGCTCTTGAACACACTGAAGAGGTTGTTGTTATTAAGTGCCATTGAGTTGGTTCCAACTTGTAGCAATCCTGTATAGGGTTTCCGAGGGACAGGTGGTGAGTTTGAATTGCTGACCTTGTGGTTCAAACTGACCTTATCCTGGAGCACTACACAAGGACTCCTTAAAGAAGATAGGAAAAATATTTTCATCCATCTGTCCATCCATCCATAATCCATAATCCATTTATCTACTCAGCAATCCATCAATTCATCTATAAGTCATCTATCCATTCATTCATAGCTTATGTATCTAACCAGCCATAATTCATCCAACCATCCATAATCCATTCATTAATCTATTCATCAATCTATTTATAATCCTAGTATGACGCCATAGGATAAACTCTTGACCTCAAGGTTGGCAGTTCAAACTCAACAGCTGCTCCTCAGAAATCCCATACAGGGTCTATATGTCGGAACTGATTTGATGGCATTTAACAACAACAACAACAACAACAACAATCCATCCATAAGTTATCTATTTATCCATTCATAATTTATCCATCATTGTTGTTGTTGTCATGTGTCGTGGAGTTGGTTCCGATTCATAGCAACCCTGTACAGGGTTTCCGAGGCTGTAAATCTTTATGGGAGCAGAAAGCCTCATCTCTCTCCCATGGAACAGCTGGTAGTTTTGAACTGCTGACCTTGAGGTTTGCAGCCCGATTTGTAACCACTACG